GGTTTAAGGTGTAAATGGGTTTTGGGTTGAACTTTAATGCATTTCACCCTTCAACTTTTCATTTCTTCAATTGGGTCCCTCATCCTTCAACTTCTTTCCAATCCTCTTCGCGAAATCCCCTTTTTACCCATAAACCTAACAAGAAAACAAAGGCCAACATATTAGTTAAAATATAAAAATAAAACTAGAATAAAAATAAAATTCTATGAAAATTTTGAGTTATGACAGTTGCCCCTCTTTTCTTTTCTTTTCTTTCTGTTAAGAATGAAAAGCAAAGATAAGAATAACTCGATTTTTTTTTTTTTTTACAATTGAGCAACTAATCAAGTAAAGTAAAAATTGGTCAAATGATCAAATAAGTAAAGTAAAAACAGTTAGAAAATCGCAACGGTCGGATGACCGAACAAGTAAAGTGAAAATGGTTAGGAAACCGCAACGGTTGGATAACCGAACAAATAAAAACGGTTAATGAACCGCAACGATCGGATTAATGGAACGAGAAAAGTAAAAATGGTTAAAAAAAATCGTAATGATTGGATTAACTGAATGAGCAACGATTGAATGATCGAATAGGTAACGGTCGAATGACCGAAGGGGTAATGATCGGATAATTGAACGAGTAGTAATTGAACGATCAAGCAAGTAACGATCGAATGACTGAGCGGCTTGGCAATCGGATAACCGAACGAGTAACGATCGAATGATCGAGCAGGTAATGGTCGAATGACCGAGGGGGTAGCAATCAAATGATCTAGCACGTAACGGTCGAATGGCCGAGGGGGTAGTGATCGGATAACCAAACGAGTAGCGATCGAATGATCGAATAGGTTAGTAGCTATGGTCAAACGACCGAGCAAGATGGCTAGCTACGGTCAAACGACCGAGCAGGCTTGAGCCATAACGATTAAATAACCGAGTAGCGATCGAATGATCGAGTAGATAACGGTTGAATGACCCATGGGGTAACGATTGGATGACCGAACGAGTAACGATCCGATAACTAAATGAGTAATGATCAAATGATCGCATAGGTTAGGTAGCTGTGGTCAAACGACCGAGCAAGATGGATAGCTACTGTCAAACGACCGAGCAAGATGGATAGCTACTGTCAAACGACAGAGCAAGCTTGAGCAATACGGTTAAATAACCGAGTAGCGATCGAATGATCGAATAGATAACCGTTGAATGACCGAGGGGGAAACGATCGGATGACTAAATGAGTAATGATCAAATGATCGAGTAGGTAACGGTCGAATGACCGAGGGGGCAACAATCGGATGACCGAGGGGGCAACGATCTGATGACCGAATGAGTCACGATCGGATAACCGAATAAGTAACGATCAAATGATCGAATAGGGTGAGTGATGTCTGAAAAGTCTAGTGACAATGAAACCAATGCAAGTGAAATGATTTTCATACATAAGTTAAGGTGAAAATGAAAAAAAAAACTTCCCTGAACATATTGGATGCCTATATTTGGCGAGAGTTAAATGTGCTTTATGATGCGCATTCATCAACCTGTGATCATTTCTTTGTAGCAGCTTAATAGATTCACATTCATGTATAGTCTATTGAACACAAGAGGTAAAATCTCATTGGTTTCCCATGAAGAGATATTTGAAAATATTGGCCCAATAAGTTTAACTTTCATTTGCTATTGGAGCTTCAACTAGCATGGATGACTCCTTGGCTATCGAATTCAGCTTCTTTTCTCCTTGTAATTCTCATCCAACCTTTCAAATTCATCAAGAGATTTTGATTAGATGAGCAATTATATTAACTGAAATAGAGCCTTATGTTCAACTAGCATTCCCAATATTGAATAGAAGGTAAGGTTGGAGTAAAGTGTGAACAGAATGGTTGCAAAGATTTATTAGATTCAACCAAGGTTAGGATGATCAAAAGGTCAACTTTGAATAGTGATAAAGAAGTCTAGCCAATAATACAAGATTTTGATGCAAATGGTTACAAGATATTCAGACCATAAATCGTTGCTTCAGATCATCTTTTCTTTGCAACTCTACCCCTCAATTCTTTAGTCCATGAGAAAGAGTCTCGTTCATTTTCTGAATATTGACACTTCAAATCTTTCCCTTTTGATGAACTAACTCTCATACTCAGAATAAAGAAGTTTCCAACTGCCACTGCCTAGAGCCTTGTTGTTTCTTCCTTGACAAAGAAAGCTTTAAACCCTCAGATAAGGACTTTCACATAGGCTTGTAACGTGGCTTGGGGTTAGGTTATGATGAAAGAAAGGATAAAGGCTCAAAATCCATATATTCCCCTCACATCTCTCTCTTCACTTCCCCGGTCATTAATGTGGGTTAATAGAAAGAAAATCATTCTGGCTTTTTGTAAATTTGAATGACTGCCTTTTTTCTGGCTCAAAAGGGGTAAGCAAAAGGGTAATGTTCAACTGTTTAGGGTAGAGAAACAGGGCCTTTCATCATTGGATTTTCAACTTTCCAAGTCAAGGAAACATTTAATTCGTTAGGTTGCCCTTTCAGGTTTTCAACCTAAATTTTTTTTTTTTAACAATAATACATTTTGACAGCATTGGCATTCACTGGGTGATGATAATTAGTTCCATCTGGACATTTCAATAAGAGTGCTCCTCCGGAGAAAGCTTCTTTAACAACATAGGGCCCTTCATAATTCGGTGCGAATTTGCCCCTAAGGTCCTTTTCATTTGGCATGATCTTTCTTAAGATGAGATCTCCTTGATGAAATACTCTAGGTTTGAGTTTCTTGTTGTAAGCTGTTGCCATTCGTCGCTGATAGCATTGACTGTGACAAAGAGCTGCCAATCTCTTCTCATCAAGCAAGTTGAGGTGATCTACCCTTTTCTGAATCAAGTCTTCTTCCTCAATCCCCAACTCGGATAAAATTCTCATGGAAGGAATTTCTAGCTCAATTGGTAGTGTTGCCTCCATTCCATACACCAAGGAATAAGGGGTTGCCCCAGTTGAAGTGCGAACAAAGGTTCTATAAGCATGGAGAGTATATGGCAACATTTCATGCCAGTCTTTGTAAGTAACTGTCATTTTAGCTAGAATCTTCTTGGTATTCTTGTTGGCAGCTTCCACGACACCATTCATCTTTGGTTGGTATGGAGAAGAGTTCAAATGCTTGATCTTGAATTGCTTGCATAGTGCAGTCATCATATCATTATTCAAATTGCTTGCATTATCAGTAATGATGGCCTTTGGTTGCCCATATTTGCAGATGATCTCTTTCTTGATGAAGCGAGTGACCACCTTTTTTGTAACACTAGCATAAGATGCTGCTTCTACTCATTTGGTAAAATAATCAATAACAACCAAGATAAATTGATGACCATTGGAAGCTTTAGGATTAATTGCCTCAATCACATCAATGCCCTACATGAAGAATGGCCAAGGAGCGAACATATTATGAGTAATGAAGGCGGAGCATTAATATGATCAGCATAAATCTGACATTTGTGACAAGCTCGTGCATATTTGATGCGGTCATGTTCCATAGTCAACCAATAATACCCAGCTCGGAGGATCTTTCTAGCAAGCATTCTTCCATTTGCATGTGTTCCACATATCCCTTCATGGACCTCAATCATGACTTGTCCTACTTCTGTTTCATCAACACATCTAAACAAGGTCATATCAGCAGAGCGCTTATACAATGTATTGTCGCTCAAGAAGTATGAAGTTGCCAATTTTCTGATTGTCTTCTTGTTCACTTCAGAAGCATGAAGAGGATACTCCCCATTTTGCAAGAACTGTTTAATATCATGAAACCATGGTTTGTCGTCAACCTTGATTTCCATGCAATGTGTCGGTTCTTGACTAATTTCAATCATTAAAGGCTTAATCACATCATCATTGGAGATTTGGATCATGGAGGCTAAAGTTGCCAGAGCATCCACGAATTGGTTCTTGGTACGGGGCATATGGTTTAAAGAGATAAATCTGAATTTCTTGATAAGAGTTTCAAGGTATTGGTGATAGGGAATAAGTTTTGGATCCTTGGTTTGCCAATCGCCCTTTGTTTGACATATGATTAACGCTAAATCACCATATATCTCCAAATCTCGGACATTCATATCCAGAGCAACATGTATTCCTACAATACAAGCTTCATATTCGGCTATGTTGTTGGTACAAGCAAAATCAAGCTTTATAGCAATAGGAAAATGATCTCCCTTTGGGGATACCAACACGGCTCCAAGGCCACAACCAAGCTGGTTAACAGCTCCATCAAAGAAGAGCTTCCAATTATCTGAATCAAATTCTGCCTCCACTGCCAAAATGTCCTCATCAAGAAAATCCCAATCAATAGGCTCATAATCCTCTGTCGCGTGTTCGGCTAAATGATCTGCAATGGCTTGCCCTTTGATGGCCTTTCGTGTTGTGTATAATATCAAATTCATAAAGCAACATATGCCATCGAGAGATCCTTCCAGAAAGGGTAGGTTTTTCAAAAATGAATTTTATGAGATCCATTCTTGAAAGTAGGTAAGTGGTGTTGGTTAACATGTAGTGGCGAAGTTTCTTGGATGTCCAGGCTAAGGCATAGTAAGTTTTTTCTAAGGGTGAGTATTTACTCTCACAATCATTGAACTTCTTGCTCACATAATAGATGGCTCTCTCTCTCTTGCCTAAGTCATCATGTTGGACAAGGATGGCTCCCATGGATTCTTCAAGGACAGTGATATATAGGATGAAGGGCCTTTTATCAGTTGGAGGCACAAGGATTGGTGGGTTTTTAAGGTATTCTTTGATTTTGTCAAAGGCTTGTTGGCATTGGTCATTCCAGGTATGAGGGCTATCTTTTCTGAGGAGTTTGGAGATAGGCTCACAAATGGTGGTGAGGTTGGCAATGACACGGGCAATGTAATTAATTCTACCCAAGAAACTTCGAACTTCTTTTTGGTTTTTTGGTGGTAGCATTTCATCAATGGCTTTTATTTTGGCTGGATCAATCTCTATTCCTGGGCGACTCACAATGAAGCCAAGTAGCTTTCCCGAATCCACATCAAAAGTACATTTGGCAAGATTGAGTCTCATTTGGTATTTTCTAAGGCATTCAAACACCTTCTTGAGATTTTTTGTATGTAGCACCTCTTCTTTGGACATAATCACCATGTCATCAACATATAGCTTAATAATGGTATGCACAAAGTCATGTAGTAAAGTAATCACAGAGCATTGGTATGTTGCCCCAGCATTTTTAAGTCCAAAAGGCATAACTTTATAGCAAAAGGTACCCCATTGAGTGATGAATGTAGTCTTGAGCTTGTCCTCCTCCTTCATTCTTATTTGATTATACCCAAAGTAACCATCAACAAAAGAGAACCGAGCATTTTTGGCAGCATTATCTAGCAGAATTTGGATGTGAGGCAATGGGAAATCATCCTTGGGGCTTGCTTTGTTCAAGTCTCTATAATCCACACAGACTCTAACTCGACCATCCTTTTTCATTACAGGAACGATATTGGCCACCCATTCCGGATACATAGCTACTTCAATGAAATTGACATCTAGCAGCTTTTGCACTTCTTCTTTAACTTTCAACAGAACCTCTGATTTCATCCTCCTTAGCTTTTGCTTGACTGGCTTGGCCTCAAAATAGAGTGGAATGGCGTGAACAATGATATCAAGATCAAGTCCCGGCATGTCCTTGTAGGACCAAGCAAAAACATCTTGGAACTCAAATAAGAGCTTAATCAATTCTTTTCTTTCCTTTGAGGATAGATGAGCATTGATTTTTATCTCCTTTCTGTCATCTTCAATACCCAGATTAATGGTTTCTGTCTCTTGATTTGGTTGCAGCTTCGGTTTTTCCTCTCTTAGCATTTGAGTTAGTTCATGAGAAGGATCAAGATTTTCATTGACTTCTTCTTTATAGGTCTAATCATCAATCTCATATATAAAGTCTGATATGGCATCATTGTTTAAAGATTCATCATTAGCAGGCCTAAAAATTTGGGATGGAAGTAAATAAATGGCCAAATGATAATAAAGCAAAGATAGGAACATGTTACTGGATAACCTCATCAAATATATCATTAAAGAGTGACTTGTACAATGAAAGTTCAACTAAAGTTGCATCGTGATGATTTTTACAATAATAGGTAGGATTGCAACATGTTTCATTGAAAAGAAAAGCATGGGAATACTAGAAGCATGATAACATAAATTTCAGAAATATAAAAGTGCTTGTTGAATCCCTCCCTTCATGTAGTTACAAGCAGAACTACTAGAGGCTGACTCTTCTTACTCGGAGATGAAAGCTACAAGGAGAAGTTTCGCTAGCCAATTAGCTTGAGAGCTTCCATTGACCAGAGAAATTCCCCTATCAAATTCAAGTTTTTTCTCATCTAGAGCATTTATAGTCAAATTTCCCCACGAGTCACATAGTGATTCTACTTTCACTGTTTTAAGAGGCACAGACTCATGTGATCCCATTGGAGCTTTTGCATGATGAATGAGTTGGAAGTTGGGGTGATTTTCCATAAATATCCTTTCAACAAGCATCCTTCTCCACCTTTCCTTAGGATCTGTCATGTTGGCTAGCCCAAAGAGGTTGTTGAAACCAAAACTGTCTTCCTCATCATCAGAACTGACTTCATTGGTGATATCTTTCACCACCACTTCTTCAAACTTTGCTTGTTTTGAACATTCCCCAATTCAAGCAATCTGTCAATGAAAACAGTACCCTCTGGATCTACATACAAAACATCCATATGTTTTACCACATATCCATTAAGAAAAGGGCACAAAATCTCAGTAGGTCGTGAAAATGTGACTCTAATGTGCGGCACCCACATTGGTTCATCCCTTGGATCTCTCCCTTGAAGTCTAGCAAGGCATTTCTCCTTTTTAATAGCACGCATTCTCTGCCAATCTTCCTTCTTCAGCTTGTATCCCACCCCAAAAGTGCCTCAAGTTTGAATTACTTTAATAGGCTCGAGAATTCCTTGTCCATTCAATCCCAAACCTTCTCCCAACTGATAATGACATGAAAGCATGATTCTAGCAACAACTTTGGTAGGTTTAGCCATTTCAGCCCTTTCCCTCTGAACCTCGGGTGAATATAAGAAGTAGCAGCACACTCCATTGAGTGATAAGAGGATTCATAAGTTCCAGGATCAACTCCCAAGTAAGGAATGGTTGTAGCCTTTCGGATGACATGCTCTTCCTCACCATTCACCGTGACAAGAACACCATTGACAATGTATTTGACTTTTTGATGCAAAGTGGATGATACTGCTCCGGCGACATGTATCCAAGGCCTCCCAAGAAGCATATTACAAGCAGGAGAAATATCCATAATGAAGAAATCCACATCAAAAGTTATAGAACCAATTTCCATTGGAAGCTCAATCTTTCCAATCACGTTCTTTTTTGTTCCATTGAAAGCACGAACTACTGTGTTACACTGATTAATGTGAGACTCATCCACTTTCAATTGCTTCAATACTGTCATAGGAATCACATTCAAAGCTGAACCATTGTCGATCAACACATGAGGCACATTCATCATCTTGCACTGAACAGAAATGTGAAAAGCCTTGGTATGCCCATTTCCTTTATCGGGAATCTCATCATCTGTGAAATTAATATAATTTGAAGCTAAAATTGCCCCAACCACAGTCCCAAACTTCTGAGTATCAATGTTCATGGGCCTCTTTCAAGACTTTGAGCAATGCATCAAGATGAACCTCAGATGATAGCATTAATTCCAAAACAAAAATTATTGCAGGGGTTTTGTTGAGATGTTCGATGATGCTATACTCACTCTTCCTCAAAATATTCAAAAATTTTACAACTTCATTTTCTAACACTAGCTTCTTGGGTGATTATTCTGGCATCTCTTCAATTCTGATATCTTTTGATTTCAAGGCAGCCCTTCTTGATTCTTCAACTTTAGGACTCACATAGCACTGACCATTGCGGGTCATATTAGACACACCATTGACTTTGGAATTCAAAATAGTAGAGCGTTGAGGCATAACCACAGATGATGTCTTTCCCATGAGTGACTCACTAAGAGAGGTCTTCAAGACATAAGGCTGACTGATGACTTGTGCTTTTGTAGTATCTTGCAAAATGTAAGGCTTCTCCTTAGTGAAGTATTCTTCCATCACTGATGCTCTGAATTTCTCTGACTCTGGAGCAGACATGAACTTCAGAGATCCCATTCTTTGTAGCTCTATAATTTTTCTTTGAAAATCTCCACAATTTTGCAAAGTATGCCCTTTCATATTGAAGTGATAAAAACACACCAAAGCATCATCAATTGTCATAGGCGGAACATCCAACCTCACTGATGCAATTGTATGAATAAGATCATGTTCTATTAAAATGGCAAATAATTCATCAAAAGACCAAGAACTGGCATTCTCCAACACAGGCCTATCAACTTCATCAAAGGCAACCATATTCATGGTGGGTGCATCAGGTGGAGGTAAAGGATTCTGAGTGATGTTTGGAGCACCCTTGGTTTCTTTAGTATCAAGTTGAAGTTTACCCTCATCAATGAGATCTTGGACCCTATGTTTCAAAGTTGTACAATATTCAGTATCATGACCCACCACATTGTGATATTCACATCTGACTTGCTGATCATACCAGTCTAGATAAGGTGGTCGAACAGCGGCCGCTTGCACTATCTTCATTTAACCTACCTCAACTAATTGTTTCAACACCTCACTGTAAGGGATTAGAAGTCTAGTGAATTGTCTTGGCCTATTTGTAAGTGGAAATTGTTGTCTAACAGGAGCTTGAGCATTAAAGTTTGGCCTCCTTTGAAGATAAGTGGTAGGCCTAAAGGTTGGAGTGAATTGCAATTGGGGCTGTCGATTATAAGGAACATTTGCCACATTATAAATTGGTTTGGCATGGTCGATGAAAATATGACTTAGAGCCTCCTCATCTTCTTTTGAAAGTCCATAATAATACTTGTCTTCAATCCATCTTCAATTTCTTCACCCACTGTCACTAATTGAGCAAAAGTATATCCCACACAAGGAGCTAACCATGGACGGAAAGTCCTGGTAGTTGACTTGATAAAGAGAGAGCAGATTTCGCTATCGGCAAGGGTTGGAATGACCTTAGCTGCTTCGGATCTCCACCGTTGGGCAAATTCCTTGAAGGTCTCATTACTCTTCTTGGTAACTCTCTGCAAGCTATCCCTTGTAGGAGCTAGACTCATATTGTACTCATACTGCCTCATGAAAGCTTGGGACACATCCTTGAAAGTGCGAATCTTCTTCTTGTCGAGAATGGAGAACCAAATACTTGCTGGGCCTGACAGACTGTCTTGAAAGTAATGAATGAGTACCCTCTCATCATTGGCATAAGGTGCCATTTTCCTGGCATATATCTGCAGGTGAGCATAAGGACAACCTGAGCCATCATACTTGTTAAAATCCGGTTGCTTGAACTTGAAATTTGTCTGAATTCCCAAATAGTAGAAAAGATCATCCAAATCAATGGAACCATAAGCTTGTGGCCCTTGCATAGCCTTCAGAGCCTCTTCCAACTGTTGCAACTTGTGATCGATCTCTCTTGACTTCCCATCCTTCAAAGTAGGCCTCAATATCTCAACCAAGGGGTTGGGTTGAATAGTTGGCACTTGTCCCATCAAAGGTGGTATGGTTGTGGGCAAGGTTGGGTTGTTCATCTCAAGTGGTGGATGTGAGGCTTCAAAGGGTAGAGATGATATTTGTGGAGCATGTGAAGATGACTCCCCCATTAGAGGCTGATTCTCATAAATAGGTGGAAATTGCAATTGTGTGACCATGGGATCCTTAGCACGATTACCCGGTGTGATGGTAGATGATGGGATAAGGACAGGTGGAACTGGTATTGCGGGTACTAAGGATGTAGGTGAAGGAGCCGAATCAGTAGTCAAAGTGGACAAAGTGATATTGATAGTTTGAAGAGTAGCAGCCATAGTTTGCATTGTAGCTTCCAACTTATCAACCCTTTCATCCACGGTTGATTTCTCTGGATTAATAACAATGTTTTCCTCAGACATTTTGATTACTCTAGATCTGAGCAAATACGGAGAACGTCGCTTTTTAAAGACCTTTCACTGTGGAGCTATGATTAGAAGAATTTTACCTACCAACAGAAATGTAAAAATAAAAGGAACAAAATTAGAAAACTAAAGAGACTTTAGCCCCTTTTGATTGGACCATTAATTTTCCTTTTGAATTTTCATATTGATTCTCACATCGGTGTTTCCATCTTGTACGAAGACATCCACCTATTTTATAATGAGTTGTGCTGACACATGGCTTTTCATTACTAAATTACCGCACTTGAAACAAAGTTAGCAAGCATTACAAAGTTGCATTCAAAGTGCTTACAAACCTTCATTCTTTTAAAGCTAGGACAAACTAACTAAGGAATGCACTTTAGACAAAATGGGCAAGCATTACAAAGTTGCATTCAAAGTGCTTACAAGCTTTCATTCTTTTAAAGCTAAAACATACTCATTACAGAACATGAATTCTAATACAGCCTTTTGAACACATTAGACATGTCAAAGATAAAGTCGAAAACTGGTTGGAAGAATCCCCTCTCAATCGAATGGGTCCTTTGAGCGATGTGGTGATGAGTCTTTGCCATCTTTCCCTCGAATTGGATCACCAAGGCGACTATGTCAATGACAACTTCATGCAGGCCAATGTCCTCTTCAAGAAGGGCTTTGTTCTTTTGCTTCTCGACTTGGAGTTGATAGCACATGTCCTCCATGGCAATCTTGTAAAGATTACGGTTGATAGTCATGTCTTGTAGTTGCTCTTCCAATTACTCATTGGCTTTGCAAAGGTGTTCATTGTCCTTTGTCAACTGGTACAAATAAGAGATGGTTTCTTCATTGAGCCTTTGAGTACGAGCAGAGAACTCCAACAAAGTCTTGTGTGAAGAAGCTTGTGCCTTGGATGTGTGAGAATCCATATTTCTTTTCAAAGGTCACAGATGGTCCAAACAAAAAGGGCTTGAAAACTAAACACAAAATGACCAAATAAAGATATTAATAAGAGGATGATCAAAGATTATAGCTAATGATAAGTGTAATTGAATAGAAATGTATATGTGATATGAGACTTAAAAATTAAAATTTCCATCCTAATCATGGATTTTACTTCATCAGATATACTTTTGACAAGGAAGAAGGATTGTATTCATTCAAGCAAGTTTTCATTGACAAATCTGAATTTCTAACATTCGTACAAAAGCTCCTAAGTAACCCATTTTTCCCCAAGTTCTTCAAGTTGTGCTCTCCTGCTTTCCTTGCTTTGATTGCTTTGCTGCTTGCAATTCCTTTTGTAGAGCATCATAATCAAACAATAGGTTGTAAGCATTCCTCCACTTAATCACTTTTCCTTTCAACTCTTGCTGCTTAGTCACCCTCTCAATAAGCTCCTTGTTCTCCTTTCTCTTGCTTTAAGATTCGCCTTTACTCGTAGCAACCTTTTCCTTTGTTGTTCTTTGGCAATGTCCAAGCTCCTCTTTTGCTTTCCACAAATTTCCTTACTAGCAACGAAATCCTTTTCCAATAAGGCAATCTTGTCCTTTAACTCCACCACTTGTTGATCTGACAACTATTTTCCCCTTTTAAGAATCTCATGATCAAGAGCTAATTCATCATACTTCTCTAACAGCTAACATCTTTGAGCATGGCTAAGCTCCAACTTAGCGATTAAGTCCATGATGGTAGAGTTTTTCATATTTGTCACCTTCCATGGCAAAGAGAGCTTAGCTATCCAACTCAACCTCCATTGCTCATATTGTGATCTAGTCCCTTTCTCTTTCCATATGGGTACCATCCTACATCTTTCCCACATCTTATGTGCCTCGGATACCTTGTTAACAATCACCGAGGAAGACATGTAATCAAAGTGTGACTACAATACATCATCAAGATAGGGAATGTTTTGTGCCTTTCCAAACTGACGGGATGCCAACTCCACAGAATATGTAACCCCTCCATGAATACCCAACAAAGGAATAGAGTGATGTCCTTCGGGTGAAGCGAGATAATGAGTGGCACTCCAAGTCGGGAGAACAAATCTGACATCATTAGCAATTGCTGCTAGAAGTGATCGATGCCAATCCTCTGTCTTTTTATCCTTCACAGGAACATTGAATAGAGCTTCAAATTGGGGACCCCTTAAGTGACCTTGTGCCCATGTAGTGAACAACTCAATGCAACCCAAGAAGCGATCGGATCCTTTAGCCCGGATTTCTTTCATAGACCACAAAGTTTCGGCTACCACTGTAGCAGGATTAAATGCCGAAGTGTGCAACAATTGCTCAAACAAAACTATCACCATAGGTGCAACGGTCTTGACATAGATAGGGAAGATCACCATGCCATAAATTCCCAATGTCACAAAGTTGATCCTTTGAGAAGATGTCATGCATTCCAATCCCTTTCCCAAAGCCATTAATGCCGCATTCCAATTGAACCCATAAGAGTCCTCTCTAGTTGTTACCAATGGTTGTGAGAAGTCAAATGAAAAGCCCCACATAGCTTGCAACATTTCTTGAACTTTTTCTAATGTGAACTTCATATGTTGTGCTTGAAGAGTGAAGGTACAAGAATCCATTGCAGGACTATATCGCAAAAAGTGATGATACTCATCAATGGTGGGCACCAACTCAAATTGTGGGAACACAAAAGCTTGATATTCTGGCACATAGAATTTCAACATGGCTCTGAACAAGTCCCAATCTGGCACCACTGACAATAGATCCCCAATGCACCCAAATCGGATCTCAAAGTCATGCTTTTCCCTAAAGGACAACAAGCCATAAGCCTCTTTCAACAACTTCAAGTCGGGTTTGGAGGTATTGACTGAAAAGATTGACTCCTTAGCTCTCTTAGCAGTAGAGTGAGATGTGACATCTTCACCAAGTCTCTTCCCTTGTTTAGTTGTATCCTCGGTAAAATCCATGTCTAATGCATGATCTTACCTAAACAAAAGGCTTAAAGAAGTTAAACATAAATCATACCCTCAGATGCCATTCCTCATTAAGTGTACAAAAATAAGCTACCATATGCACAAACAAAGGTTAGTGAAGTAAAATGCCCCATTTGTGTCTTAAACACGGGACGCCTAGCCTTACGGGTGGGATGCTAAGGGAAACATGTCCTAGGGTTGGTATCTCTCTAAGGCCAATACATGTTTTCCTAAAGGGCATTAGGCCTTCTCAACCATTTATCCTTTCGGAATCAATGGGAAATATTTCCAAAAGCTAATACATAGGACGATATTACATCATCAAGTGTCGTATTAACCAATGGAAACAACCTAATGGGAACCGATCCTACTCCTGAAAGCGGGAAGAATTGCTTTTCCAAGCCAGATTCGTAAAGATTCCAGACTAGAGGTCGGGTTCACCTCTGACACGGACCTAATGCAAAATGAATGTGAGTGGGTGCAATGGGGCATGACACTCCGATAACCTGCACAACGACAACCACAAAATAGTAACATATATCCCACAATAAGCAAATAAAGCATGTAAAACACTTAACAAATATATCACCCACAAACAAAACTACTTACACAGCAGGAAGGGACTCACCTAGTACTCCCGTGCCAAATGCAAAAGGTTATTAACACAAAGCAACCAACACTTAGCATGCAACAAGATATAAATAATCGCACAAGAGGGAAGAGACTCACTGAATACTCCATAGCCAAGTGTAAAAGGTGAGTATATCCACACACAAGCAAGTAAGCATGTAAGCATGATGCATGATGAATAAGCATATAATATCAATGATGGATGAGCATGTGAAATGATATGATGCATGAACATGTGAGCAAGGCATGATGCATGTCAAGATGTAGCAAGGTAACTACTCAAAGACAAAAATGATCAAAGCAACCACTAAAATAATAAGCGAACAAACAACAATCACCACACAACAAGCACATGCAACAAACGACAAAAATTAACAAAGACTCAACAAAGAAAGAAAATCAAGAGCTGAAAAATTCTCCCAAAGTTGAAGTATTGGCTCGACCCTCGTGAACCCAGAATATGGAAACTAGAGATTCTGGGTTCTGTCCCCAGTGGAGTCGCCAATCTGTTGACGACCACTTAAAACTTTCAAAACTATGATGAAAAATTAAGTGTGAAAGATATAAGAAAAGGGAGTTGCCACTCGTCTAAATTATAAGGTGGGACAAGTCACCTAAAAACAGGTCTACACAAAGATCGGGGTTCAGGGGTTCGGCTAGGAGTGAGGAAGAGCATATACGCACCTCACAATCCTCCGTTTAAACACGGTTGCATACTTTAACATTGGGGTTTTAATTCAACTTATTCATTATATTTATGATTGAGTCTTAATAAGCAAACTTGAAAAAAAGATAAACCAAATTGAAACATTTTTAAATTTTTGGACTGAAATAGACAAAATCAAAGACATGCATGCATCATAAGCACAAATAAGAATTAAAGGGACTAATTTAATTAAATTAGAAAACATGGAGGAGTGATTTAAAAAGATTTGAAACCTTGGGACTAAATTGCTTAATCATAAAAACTTTTGGATGAAATTGAGATAAGATAAAAGATAACTTTGACTTTGACCAAGATTAAAGTTAATTGAGAATTAAAATTAATTAATCAAGATAATTAATCTAATTAAATAATTAACTTAA